CATCTTTGTGCGATTGGTCCTAGAGCGACTATGTTATGAAAAAAACAGCAACCGTGGTTGTCCTCAATGCAAGGTTGGGTGGTGCGTGCCACTATCTCTCTCATGCTCACATGTTGCTAAAATTTTGTCACGCAGTGGTGAACCGTGTTTGTTGCAGGGCAGCTCACAATTTGACTGAGGCTTCCACACGTGTCGCCACATATAAAATAAAGCACAACAATCCTACAGACTCGAAAATGATGGTTGGCTACTGCATGCCACTCTCTCTCAAACACAACCATTTTAGTAAATTTTTGGCCCGCAGTAGTGAACCGAGCTTGTAGCCTGACAACTCAGCATGTAATCAAGGCTCCTTCACATGTCCATCAGCAGAATGAAATACCGCCATCCGGCACCAACAGAAAAGAACGGTTGGCTACTGCGTGACACTTTCTCTCTCGCACTGCCATGTTGGTGATTTTGTGTCACGCAGTAGTGAACCCTGCTTGCATCTCTCTCTCTCTCTCTCTCTCTCTCTCTCTCTCTCTCTCTCTCTCTCTCTCTCTCTCTCTCTGGCAATCTCTTTCTATCCAGTCATTGTTGTCGTTGCATGTCAGGTCCGCCAGAAGACCCAACGCTTGACATTTGCGAAAGTGCATAGCGTATCGTCCAGCAGGAGAAAAGGACGGGAACAAACCGCGAAAACCCACGACATAAGCCAAAAAAAATGATTTTTCCCTTAATACAGAACGCGGTTTGTACGAAAGGTGAACACGTTTTCAACACGTTTCAACAAGCTTTCAATACAGTTCAACAAGTTTTCAACACGTTTCAACAAGGTGTCAACAACTCTTCAACAACTTTTCAACAATTTTTCTACAATTGTTCAACAGTTGGACCAACATCCTTTCAACAGTTGGACCAACAGTTGGACCAACAGATGAACAGACCAGTTTCAGTTTTTGCAATATTTGGTCAGCGTTGGTTTCCTTGACTTTTGGTAGAACACATGAGCCCCCCCCCCGCCAAACAGTTTATAAACACAGTTCCAACGGTTGAAATATGGTGTCCACATGTGTTCATCCTGCCTCAAAATTTGCCACAATTTTTCTGTTGCCCTTGTTTGTGTGAATATCTTTCAAGTTATACCTTTGTAATTGATGATTATTTAAAAAGTTTTAATACTTAGTGAAGGGTTACCAGCCCGTACGTACGGAGGTCCCTAGGCAGACCTTTGTACGTACGGGCGTTCGGGGTCCCGTACGGGGTCCGAACCTGACGGCCATCGGCCCCCGCCAAAAATTATTTCGGGGCCTAAAATATATATATTTTTTCTGAATTGTTTTTTGTGAGTTCTCTATGACATTGTCAAGCAAATACCCTGACAATGGTATTTGCCAGGGATTTTAAACGTCGGACGTTGTCCGACTTTTCATTGGATTAAAAGACTTGATGAGACTGATGTTTGCCAAAAAATTATTCAGACATGACCCATGACTGAGAAACTAAAAGTTTTCGAGCTCTAGTCCAGACGCATGTAGCGTCCGGCGGTAACGGATGTGAATGATAATGTTTCGCTTTTGTCAAAACCAAAGAAGAGCGCGGGCATGGGAACACTAAAATTAGACCTATTCTATCTAAAGTAATAACAACCACGCGATTCAGAGCCTATGGAGGTGAATAAGCACCGTCGTCTGAAGGATGGACTCACTTCGGAGGCCGAAGGACCCAATAGCCTGCCTACTAAGAGTTTGAGGTCGTCGCGGTAGGTGCAGACGGCCAACCAAAGGGGTTGGGCAAGGCAAGTTGAGCCTACTGAGTATAGGCTGGGCCTGCTGATTGTAGGTTGGGCCTACTGGGGTATTGCACCTCTACATATAGAAGAGGTGCAGGTCTAGCTCCCGTAATAGGAACTAGCCCAGTAGGTTACAACGTCAGACAATCACCCAACAGATACCAGGATCAAGCCCGGCTGCGCGCGCCCAACTTGGATAGCTCCTTTTAGAGCAGCCACCTGAGAGACAATCGCGCGCGGCCGATTTCGGCCGCAAGATCGTTGAGATCGAGCAACGGAAATCCACCACGCAGAGACTCATGTAATGAAAACAGACTCATGCGAAAAGTTTATACTTTTCCCATGTTGAATAAAGAGTACTCCAGTAAACAGAAGAACTTGGAACAGACTCATGCGAAAAGTTTATACTTTTTCCATATTAAAAATGCACTTCAACGCCTAAAAGTTGGCTTGTTTAAGATTTTTTTTTTTTTTTTGTCTTATTTTGAAAGGTTCTCCCCCCTCATTCCTTTCTTATCGTGGCGCAGTTGAAGTTGCGCCCGTTCACTATTGAAAACGGACTGCAACTTCCAACGATGCCCCCGAACCTGACGTTGTAGGTAGCCGGGTGCAGGCGTGCGTTGCCGCAGGGAAAAAAAAAAACTTGTAGTTTCTCGTGGGAAAATGAGCAACTGTTCCCTCAACAACTGCTGAGGGAACCACCCCAGCCTGTGTCTGAATCTGGCTGGGGTCGTAGGTTGTATGCAGGCACAGGCAGAAAGGAGGGGGTTGAAAAGCAAGAGGGGGGTGGAGGAGTTGAGTGGAGAGTGAGAGAGAGAGAAGTGGGAGGATGGGAGAGAGGAGGACCTGCTCCTCCCGACCTGCCAGCTGCCTCCCCGTTGTCAGGGGGGGGAGAAGAAAAAGAACAAAAAAAAAAAAAAAAAAAAAAAAAAAAAAAAAAAAAAAAAAAAAAAAAAAAAAAAAGATTTTTTTTAAAAAAAAAAGAAAATTTTTTTTTAAAAAAAAAAAAAAAAAAAAAAAAAACCGAAAAAATAAAATCTGATTTTTTTTTAGAAAAACTGCAATTTTCAGTTTGTGCCACTATTTTTTTTGTGGCATAAAACAATTTTTATGACCTTGCAATTTTTTCTATAGATATTAAGGCACTTAGGCCATGAGCATTATTATTTTATTTTATTTTTTGTTAAGAGAACATTTTTCTAAAAATGCTCAAAGTCGGGGTACTTTTTGCACCCCGCCCTGAGCCTGTCGGTATTTGAACTCGTGCATTTTCACGAGTTCTTTCCCTACCTATCCCAATCTGACAACTGCCATCCCCGTTTTCAGGGGAGGGCAGGGGAAAAAAGAGGAAAAGTAGAGAGGGGAGATAAAGGAACAGTCACGGCCGCGTGGTTACGGCCGTGCACCAAGTTCAAGCAGTATTGGCCTGAATGCAGTCATTAAGGCCAGAGTTGTGAATTGGAGGGTCGGTGAGGGGAACTTGGCTGGAAACAACCATTTTCCCGTTGAACCTGCATTCAGTGTAGGGCTGAGTGCAGGGAAAAGGGAGAAAAAGAGGGGGGCCGTTGAGTACAACTGCCACCCTAAGTGTGTGGCTAAGGTGAGACAGCCTCAGACCGTTGATCTGGCTCTGTGGCCCCAGGCAAGTGACAAATTTTGCCTGGGGGCAACTGAGGCTGCTGCTGCCCTCCTCAGCCACTACA